GGGGGGAGGGGGTGGGAGGATAGGGGCAGTTCCTGGGAGGGAGGGAACAAGAGGGAGGGGTGCGGGGGCTCTCACCTTCAGGTCTGGTGTTTGTCTGCGGGGAGGGGAAGTACACGGGGGGCCGGGGGGATGCTCGGGCAGTGCCCAGGGCGGGGGGAGGGGAAGTACAAGGGGGGCCGGGGGGATGCTCGGGCAGTGCCCAGGGCGGGGGGAGGGGCAGAACCCGGGTGGGGTGACTCACCTTCAGGTCTCGGTGCACGATGTTCTTCTGGTGACAATAGTGCACGGCCGAGACGATCTGGGGGCAGAGCTGGCAGTGAGGGCAGCGAAGCGACTGATGTCATCCTCTGCCCCGCATCGCTCCCCCCACCCCCGCTCCCCCCCAGGAGGGCAACGGCCCCTGTAAGGCGAGTGCCCTGCTGCCAGGGATCGATGGCTGGGAAGGAAGCGCCCACCCGGGTTTCCAGGCCAGCTCCCAGTAGGGAGCCCTTAACCCCGCCCCCCCACCCCCACCCCCCCGCACCACCACACACACATCTCACCCCTTTCACACGGCAAGGCTCTGAGTGCGACCCCCCCCTTACAAAGTAAAAACACTTTTTTATATTTAACACTATTATAAATGCTGGAGGTGAAGTGGGGTTTGGGGATTGAGGCTGACAGCTCATGACCCCCCATGTAATAACTCGTGACCCCCAGTTTGAGATTCCCTGCACAAGACGGTCAGCAGCACAGCCCTTCCACCCTCCATTGCCCCCCTCACTCCACACACACCACTCAGCCTTCACCCCATAGACTAGGGCCAGCAACGCAGCGCTGCCACCACCTCACCCACAGAGCACGCAGCCCCCCCCCACCCAGCAGCCCGCCCCCCCCCCACACAGAGCACGCAGCCCCCCCGAGCCATCAGCACAGCCCCCCTAGAGAGCACGCAGCCCCCACGTGCAGAGCCAGCAGCCCCTCCCCACAAAACACACAGCCCCCCCCCTACACAGAGCACACAGCCCCCCCACACACGCACAGAGCACACAGACCCCCATCCCTCAGGCTAGAGCTGACCAGAGACCCCGCCCTGAGCTACAGGGACGGGCCCAACAGGGCAGGGGCTAGGGGTGCAGAACTCCCACCCTGCTCCCCACTGCACCCCCTGCTGGGGTGGTCAGGGCTCTCGCCCATTCCCCTTTCCCGATTCTGTCCTGACCTGTCTGAATTTTGCCCGGGCTTCCTTCTCCTTCATCCGTCCGTGTGACACGAGGTAGTCGAAGACTTCGCCTGGGGGGAGGGGGTGCTGTCAGGAGCAGTCTGTAGTGGCAGGGGTAGTGCCAGGGAACCCGATGCCAGGAGGAAGGCTGGGGTGAAGGGGCTTCGGGCAGATGTGCCCCCGCTAGACAGCCGCAGCCTCACGAATGCAGCTTTCCTGCCGGGGGGTCCATTACAGCAGGACATGGGGGGCATGGAGACCCCACACATTCCCCAAGAGCGGCCTCTGGGGTAAGTGCTCAGGAGCTGGGCAAGGCCCTGGACAGAATCAGGCTGGTTGCATCGGGGTTCGTGCCCCCTGCCCGGCACTGGCCCGCCCAGCCGCACCCTGCAGCGTCCACTACGGGATAAGCCTGAGCCTAGGTGGCACCAGCCCGCAGGCTCAGATGGGAGTCGCCCGAGGAGCCACTGGAACGGGTGGGAATGTGTACGCCCCCCGCCTGGCTCCCAGTGCCAGCCTGTGCCAGGGAGGCAGCTGCCAGGTGGGTGGCACCTGCAGGGGCCTGGTGGCTTGGCTTATTTTAAACAGAGCGAGGATAATTTTAGCAGCATGGGGGGAGCCAAGCAGTGGCTGTGATCAGGAGGGGCTGTGGGGGGAAGGGGGCGCATCACGCCAGGCAGAATCCCTGGTCAGGCAGGGATGTGGGGAGACTCACACCAGGCAGAAACCCTGGTCAGGAGGGAGTGGGGGCGTGTCATGTCAGACAGGCCCCTGGTCAAAAGGAGCTGTGGGGGGGGGGGGGGGCCCCCCGGGGCGGGGCCCCGGGTGGGGGGGGGGGGGGGGGTGGGCCGGGCGGGACCGGTGGTTGGGAGGGGTAGGGTGGGGACATGCCAGGCAGGCCACCTGCCGATCTCCCCAGACTGTGATTGCTGGGGAGACCTTTGGGGTGCTGGGCCAGGCTGGCTCCCATAGCTACCCACAGGCTCAGTGGGTCCCAGGGCCAGACTGCACCCCAGGGCAGGCTGCGGGGCCTGTAGAACATTGGAGGTGAGCTGGGCAGAGGGATCTGGGGGCCACGCAGGGAAGGGGTGTGGGAACGCAGAGGGGTCCAGAGCTCCAGGTGCGGCACAGACACACCCAAGGGTTGCAGGGGGCACAGGCCTGGGGGAGCAGATGGCAGTGCAGGGGCAGGGGGGTGCCGGTGCGGCAGGGGGGCATTCTCACCAGCGCTGGCATACTCCATCACCAGGTAGAGTGTTTTCTCCGTCTCTATCACCTCAAACAACTTCACTGTAACACAGAGACACGGGTCATGGCCCAGCTCCCGACCTCGCCCAGTGAGCCCCACAGCCCAGGTGGTGCCTGCCGCTGGGGCCCTGGTCCGGGTCTCTCCCGTGGTGAGGCTGGAAGCATCTTCGCTCCCTGTGCAAGTCCCAGTGCCCCTAGCTCCTGGCAGTGTGGACAGGGTGGGCTGGGGAGTGGTGTCTCTGAAAACGCCCTTCGCAGCACAGCATGGACCCCTTCCAGAGGGCTGGGGGCCATGACACTGCAGAGACAGTTCTCATCTGTCATGGCAAAAAGAAGGAAATTCCCAGGCAAACCCCTCAGCTCTGTTGCCAGGTGCTGCCCGGGCCCCGCAGCGATTCCCTGCACTCCAGAGCTCCCGCCCTTGGGCAGCTGGGGCAAAGGGGGGTGGGATGACCCAGTCCCAACGTCTGGAAATACTCGGGGAAGGTTTGCACAGTCACCAGCCTTCACTCTACCCCTCGCTGATGCCCCTGTCTGCTCCCTCCACAGCTCTGCCCTGTCCAGCGCCCGCTTCGCTCCCAGACGCCCTGGAGCCTGCAGACAGCCCCACACGCCGGCCGGGAGATGGCAGACGCGCCCACGGCCGCACTGCCACAGACCAGAACCTCTGCACTCACACGGAGCGTGCTAGACCCTCCTCTGAAATATATGGGTCACAGTCCCCCAAACACCCTCCCAGGATGGGCCTGATCTTCCCTCCCAAACACCCTCACAGGCAGGGCCTGACCCTCCCCATCAATGTCCCCACAGGACGGCCTGACTCCCACCCAACACCTGCATCAAACGTTCTCATAGGATGGGCCTGCCCCTCCCTTCCCCCAGACCCATTACTGGACAGGCCTGCCCCCCTCATGGGATGGGCCTGCCCCTCCCCTGATGTCCCCCCACACATCCTCATGAGAGGGGCCTGACCCTCCCCCCACGCCCTCATGGCAGGGTTCTGACCCCTGTAGTTGAGGGACCTGCAGAGGTGCAAGGGTCCGTATCCCCTTAACTAGCAGGGGCAGTTGAGGCTGGAGGACGGGGCATTCGGGGCTACCATTTGCTCAGGCCCCATCGCCCCTGTGCCGCTGAGCCCCAGAGCCAGACCCCCGGACTCCAGCTCACCGATGTTGGGGTGGTTCAGTCCCTTCATGATCCGCACTTCCCGGAAGAGCTGCAGGGGGCAGAGAGATGCGGGGGGGGGGTGTTAACAGGCAGCCTCACAGCTCCTCCTCACCTGCCCCCTAAAGGGAAAGGCCCGGGGGGCTAGAGGTGGTGGGGCATCAGCTCCAATCTGGCCCCACGACAGGGAAGGAACTGGTTCAGGGGGACAGGGAATGGGACACGGGGCCTTTCCCCTCTAGGGGGCGCCGGCTCTGATCTGACCCACGGCTGGCGAGTGGCTGAGGGGGACAGGGAATGGGACATGGGGCCTTTCCCCTCTGGGGGGCGCCGGCTTTGATCTGACCCACGGCTGGCGAGTGGCTGAGGGGGACAGGGAATGGGACATGCACTCTTTCCCCTCAGGGGAGCGCTGGCTCTGATCTGACCCTATGGCAGGGGATGGGCTGGCTCAGGGGTTTGTTCTAATCTGCTCCCCACCCGCAGCTCCTTTGACCTCGGAATTCAACGCTAATTAGCAGCCCCTGGAGATGCCTCCGGAGTGGCTGTTACCACAGCGACCAGCCTGGCCTCTGGGTGCTAATTAGAGCGGTGATTTGAGGGAGGGGAGCCTGTGTCAATGTCAGGGGCTGGGGCAGCCAGTGGGAGCTGGGGCTGGGAGTGTCCTGGGGTGGGGGGGACAGGAACAGGGCAAGTGCCCTGGGGCGGATGGGAAAGGGGGGCAGGTGCCTGGCAGATTGGGTGTCCCAGGTTAGCTGGGTGGAGAGGTGCAAGGCAGGGCGGGTGCCCCAGGGGGCTGCTGGGCCGGGGGGGGGAGATGTGTCCCCAGGGTAGCTGGGGGTGGCGCTGGGTATGGGACCCGAGCTCACGGCGGAAGCACAGTGAGGAAGTCGCGGGCATGGGGAACCCGAATGCCAGGGCCAGAGCCCCCCCCCTCCCCCCGAGCCCAGAGCACAATGGGCTCTTTGTGGAGCCTGGGAACCCAGCCGCTGGCATCGGAGATGCGCTGCGGGCGGCCATCGGGAGGTGGGGGGCGACCCCCATCCAGGGTGGCCTGGAGCGGCTGCCCCTCCTGCCAGTCCCAGACCTGGCTTCCTCTGTCCCTCCAGGCCCAGCCCCCAGCAGCAAGGCCCCAGCCTGGACATTGCCCCCTCCCCAGGGCATGGGGCTGCCAGCCCCTGCAAGGAGTGGGGGGCCACTCCCCCCACCGCTCACACTCACCTTCTGGAGGCTCGTGGGGTTCAGCTGCGTCTTGTCAATGATTTTTATTGCAACCTACAAACAAACCAGATTCTGGCTGGGGGTGGGGGGGGGTTAGGGCACTCAGTGCCTGCGCCCCCCACTTCCCTCTGTGTGCCCCATACGCCCCTCCGCTCCCCTGCCCCATCTGCACTTGTGCTATCCTCCAGCAGCACCTGACACCTCAGCCTTCCCCACTCTTCCCAGTGCCCCCCCTTGGAGATCTCCACTGGGCCCCAGAGCTACTGTGCACCCCCCCCCCGTTTACCCTCCCCCAGAGAGCCCCCCCACATCCCCCACCCTCCTTGGAGTGCTGCCACATGGCTCCCCACGACCCCCGCTCTCCCCAGAGCACTGTCCCATGCCCCCCCTCCCTTCCCATATCCCCTGCCTGCCCTCCCTGGAGCACTGCCCTATGGCCCTCTGCTCACCCCTCTGGAGTGCTGCCCCATGGCCCCCGCCCTCACTGGAGTGCTGCCCCATGACCACCCCATAGCCTCCACCCCCACAAAGTGCTGACCCATGGCCCCCGCACCCTCACCTCTCTGCCTGTCAGGATGTGCCGGGCCAGCTTGACCTTGGCGAAGTTGCCCTTGCCAATGGTTTTGAGGAGTCGGTAGTTGCCGATGTGGGGCTGCTCGTCGGTGCAGGAGGCGATGGAGTTCCGGCAGCGCGCACCCAGCGACCGGCTGGACCACGATGAGCCCTTCTCCGAGCGGCTGCTGGCCAGGGTGGAGTGCTGCGGGGGGGAGAGACAGCATCACCTGGGGGCAGGGGGGCACCGGGCGCTGCGGGGAAAGAGTCCTGGCTCCCAGTTCCCCGCTCTAGCCATCAGACCCCACTCCCCTCCCGGGGCTAGTGCAGAGTTTGGGCTGAAGGCAGGCTGCTGCCACCCAACAGCTGGGATAAGTCAGCACAGGGGCCTGGGGGGCAGGGCCCAGCCCCATGATTTCCCCAGCCCCGAGTGCCATGTGCCCGGCTGAGCAGGAAAGCCCAATGGGGCGGAGGAGTCACTGTGCTACCAGAACCAACCGGATCCTGCCTTAGGATGATGGCATCACACATGGCAACAGGGAGGGCAGGAAGATGCCCTCCACGCCCCAGCCCCCTTCCTGGGCACTGGCCAACTGGGAACAGGATCAAGAGTACCTCCCTAGGAAGCTGCTGAGCGTGTGGTCCGGCCGTCAGAGCCCCCCACCGAACCCTGGAGTCAGGCACCGCTCGGGGCACCAGGCCCGGCCCAGCAGCGAGAACCGCCCT